TGCCCGTACCCGGCCGTATCCAATTGTAACTGCCAGGTTACGGCCGGGTATGGGTACCCCTTCCAAAGGGGGAGTTGGGTATGGGCAGGCACAAACAAAAGGTGGTGGTTGTTAGGGTGGGCACAGTTGCCCTTTCTGGAGATCATTGGTGTGTAGGGGTAAAAAAAAAAAGGGTATGGGCGGCCAGAAAAAAAAAAAGTAGATGGTTATGGGTAGGTAAGGGTGGCCAAAATAAAAAAGGGTGGGTACGGGCAGGTAGAGGTTCCCATCGGGTAACCGTGGTATACCCACCCGTTCCTAACGCCCCCCCCACCACCAACCTCGTCAAGCCCCCTCTCCCGCCAGCAGAACCTGTGGTCCTGTACGAATGTAGGCGCAATTTTTTTTTCCCCAGCAGAACCGAGGGTTGTTGCATTTGCAGATGCTATACAGGTTGGGGGCAGTTGGGGGCAGTTGGGGACAGTTTGGGGTGGTAAAGGACAATTAGGGGGCGGTTAGGAACGGTAAAAAAAGGAAAAAAAAACTGAAAAAAGTTAGGACAGGTTAGGGGCAGTTAGGGACAGCTAGGGGCGGTTAGAGACAGTTACGGACAGTTAGGGGCGGTTAGAGACAGATAGGGACAGTCAGGGGCGGTTAGGGGTGGTTAGGGACAGTTAGGGACAGTTAGGGACAGTTGGGGACAGTTAGGGACAGTTAGGGACAGTTAGGGGTGGTTATGGGCGGTTAGGGGAGGGTGGGTGACGAGCACGGGTGGTTACGGGTGGGTGCATACAATGATGGTAAGGTATGGGTGGGTAGAGATAAAGAAAACTTCGGTAGGATAGGGCATGGGTGGTTAACAAACGGTTTGGGTTCAGTGGCCATAGGTCGTTTTGAAAAACTTAGCTCATGGGTACGTATGACCAGTTACATGCTGAAGAGGTTCAGGTAGGGTAGGTCTGGGTATACGTTTTCTTTTTTTTTTTGAGCAGGTCGATATGGGTAAAGGTCCGGCAGGCCAGGTATACAGTGGGTATGGGTGCTTGGTTTTCAAAGAGGGTGTGCTTAGGTCAGGTTACTCAGGTACATGTAGTCCTAAAAATCCCAGATGCGAACTCTGGGTTGGGGGTTGTCAATTGTAAGTAGGTGTCGGGAGGTGGAGTTGGCCAGAGGGGGAGGGGGGGGGGGCGGGGCTTACATTTTTTAAGAGACATCACATTTGGACATCCACACGTGCAATATCACATGAGTAATACATGTTATTACCAAACATGAAAAGCAACGTCCACATGAGTAACACAATCACATGCTGAAGTAGAACGGTGCCCGTCCGAACAATGTGTAAGAACTATAAACAAAACACATGTTTGCTCAAATGACAAATCAAAATGACCGCCCTATATAGAACAAATGTAGAGCCTGCATATGAGAAGACAGGATCATTGAATGCTAAATAAGCCTAATACCAAACAACATGCGTGCTATGACAAACAAAATAACCAAGCATCGTGTACAAAGATCGTCGTTTGTATGTCAACTACCTACCAATCAACTCCGATACAGAAGCTACGTCGATCTTTCTACACACTACATAAACCGACACAGGTAGGTAGGTAGAGAATACCTAGGGGCGCGAGACAACTCTCTCTAAGGAACTCGGCAAAATAGCCCCGTAACTTCGGGAGAAGGGGTACCTCCTTATACAGGAGGTCGCAGTGACCAGGCCTAGGCGACTGTTTACCAAAAACACAGGTCTCCGCAAACAAACAAACCTAAGGACAATCGAGTCAACTCGAAACATGCATGGAACAGAGCAAGGCACATGCCCCTATACATGGCCGGCACCGACCGCCACCCCGACCCTCCGACCGAGGACCATGCGTGGCCGATTGTGTCGAAGAAGCTGCTCTCCTCTCTCTCTCTCTCCGCCTCACCACGTCAATAGGCTTCTCCTCCGTGTCTGCATCGACGTCTCGTGCAGCCTCATAAACCCTCGCCAATGCTGAAGCCTCCAACGCTGCAATCTCCGCCTGGTGGGCTGCTATACGAGCCTCTATCTCCATCAACGAGTCCTGACGTCTCTGGCCTGCGCGCATAGGCAAAGCCTCCCCGCCAGAGGTGTACGCCCCGCTCCGCACTCCCGGCTCTGGGGCGGCTGGTATGCGCAAATCTCGCATCCTCCCAGGAAGTCTCACTCCCAATATACGACACGTGGTGCCGATACCAGGTCAGCCCCCGCTGCCACCCTCGGCCCGTCCTGCCTCCTCTGCCGCTCTCTCTGCTAGAGTTCTCTCCTATGCCTCTCTCTCTCCCTCTCTCCATTCTCTCTCTCTCTCCCTATCTCCGCTTTCTCTCTCCTCTCTCTCCCTCTCTCCCTCTCTCCGCTTTCTCTCTCTCTCATCTCTCTCTCTCTCTCTCTCTCTCTCTCTCTCTCTCTCCTCTCTCTCTC